GGTTTTTCCATTGTTTTAGTTTTAGTATAACATTATAATACCATTCATATATTTAAACCAATCCGATGTATATTTGACATTTGAGGCTTAATACTATAGAAAAGCACTAAAGGTTTTTCAGTTAGAGTGTTTTCAGCTTGTTTATTTTCATATAAAAATACGACATGCAATTGCATCAAACAATGGTATAAACATCATTCAATGTAAATTGTGATAATCGTAATTAATAATCGCAATTACAATTTCAAGGGAATAATCAACAATTATGATTTTTGTCATAATCGTGCAGCCCTACCTCAAGCTAATCTGAAACACAATTCTTTTGTTGTATTGCAAGCCCTTGTACTTCCTTGTGCGTACGCGTGTGTATTTTCACCTTCATTTTGACCTTTACTGACACACATCAACAAAGTGTTGGGAGCGTTTCTCACCAGGCTCCAAAGACCAGCATTCCTCTGAAGGGGGACACACCTTTGCCTTTGAGTAGATGCTGTCCATCTGGCTCAGAATGGTGTTGTACTAAGAAAACAAAGAGTGCAATCAAAACACGTCTTGATGCGTCGTCAATAGCTCTTCTTCCACAGCTCCAGTGGTCAACTCACCCGCTCTCTCTCTGCGGTTGGGAGATTGGCAGGTCCCAGAACATTGATCTTACTGATGATTTTCTTCAGGTCTGGATTAGTGAAGCTCTCCATGAGAGAATCACTGAAGGTAGCCTTTGCTTTTTGACCCCATGCCTCTGTGAAAGCCTGCTCCTCCAAAGACGCAGAAACCTGAAGGAAACAATAAGGAGAGTCATTAAATGATGCGTCGTCAATAGCTCTTCTTCCACAGCTCCAGTGGTCAACTCACCCGCTCTCTCTCTGCGGTTGGGAGATTGGCAGGTCCCAGAACATTGATCTTACTGATGATTTTCTTCAGGTCTGGATTAGTGAAGCTCTCCATGAGAGAATCACTGAAGGTAGCCTTTGCTTTTTGACCCCATGCCTCTGTGAAAGCCTGCTCCTCCAAAGACGCAGAAACCTGAAGGAAACAATAAGGAGAGTCATTAAATCTTAAAAAAAATAATAATAATAATAAAAAAAAAATTTAAATTAAATATCCATAGGAATATCATGGATTTTTCTCATTTGAAGTCAATTAAAGTAGTTTTCATGTTTTAATGAAATTTAATTAAATGAAAAATTATCATATTTATTTATTGTTATATAGCAAATAAACTGTATTTCTTCATTAATTTTAATTATATTAATGCAAAACTTTATTTCTGAAAACAATGCTAACTTGCCGATTTTGGTGTTGCTCTGATTGGTTCAGTTCAGTAAAGGATTGTAAGACTGATTCAAACTCATCTTTTGAACTATTGCTTGAATCTATCTACAATCTCAATTAGGAGTGCCAGTGGTCGATTTGATAGATAGGTGGCGGTAATGCACTTATAAGTCTGCGATCTGCCGTAAAGCAAGAAGAAGAAGACGTGTCACGCGCCGGCTGTTGAGAATGCGCTCAGGACAGTTCGGACATTGCGGTGAATCAGAGGTAAAAAACGATATAAATACTGTTCAGTTTCTTGCACAGACCGATCGTTTCGTATCTTTACCCATCAATGTATCATCACGAGCCGCAGGGTTTAATTTGGTTTTATTTGTGTATGTTTTTTTTGACTCTCAAAGCCGTGATTCCCATTCACTTCCATTATATGACTGACAGACTGCAACGGTTTGAGTTAAAAATCTTCGTTTGTGTTCTACTGAAGAAACAAAGTCACCTACATCTTGGATGCCCTGGGGGTAAGCAGATAAACATCACATTTTCATTTTTGGGTGAACTATCCCTTTAAGAGCAATTTGTTCAGGAATCAGACTACACTATTCGCACTGTATGTTTTTGATTCACTAAAAAGAACCGCATCATAAGAGTCATGTGTTTAAGAATCAGACTAGTTATGCTGCATATTTTGGTTGCACTAAAAAGAACCAGCTCATAAGAGTCATTTGTTTGTGAATCATAATTCACAGCATGCATTGTATGTTTTTGATTCACTTAAAAGAACTGACTCATAAGAGCCATTTGTTTGGAAATCAGATGACACTAGTCACACTGAATGTTTTTGCAGTACTAAAACGAATTGGCTCATAAGCCTAATTTGTTTGTGAATATGAATGCACTGATTGTAGTCTTGGCCTAGCAGTTATTACATGTGCTCTGACTTAACATGATGCTTTGATGTTTGAGTATTAATAATTGTGTCATGTCACCGTATCTCTTTCCCTCCCCGTGATTTTCAGTCCTCTTTTTTTCATTCTCTGTTAATAATCATTTCTGGCTCTTGCTCAAGCCTAGAACAGTTTCGAGTTTCTTTCATTCTTGTTATGTTTTCAACAAGACCTTGAATTGCTTTTGCAGCAGCAAGGGATGAAATGAGGTGACAGAGTTCGCACCATCCATCAATTTATTCTTTGGATCCTGACAGGAAATCATTTCTTTTGGGGAACACGAATAGCACCTGGAACAATCCAGACTGAGGTATAAAACACCTGCTAGCTCATATGCCATAAAACAGTAGTGTGCCTGCTGTGGAGAACATTTTAGTCATTAAATTTCAGTCATTTAGACATCATTGAGCTGAAAATGTGGCTATATTGTCAGGGACAATGATTTCTCCCACATTCTGTGTATTTGAGAGACTTAGGTCATGTGTTGGGTGTGGGATGTGGGGAAATAGAGGTGAAATTGGATATTTATCATTTGTCATTGGATATTTCAAAGCTTCACCAAAGATTTACACGTTAATCACTACCAAACAGTTTTGGTGACCATTGACCTCCTGGGCATGCTGTCACCCAGGTTCATGCAAACCTGAATTTCAGTTTTTTCCCGTCTGAATAATTTTTGGTCCCAAATTTGTATCAATTTTACTGGTAGTCCACTGTATGAAGAATTTTTGGGTATAGTATATCACAGTTTAGTTTATTTTGCTATACTCACTTACATAAATGAACTATAGTGTCCTACACCCACTAGTAAAAAAATATAAAAAATTATATCATGCATGCATGACTTTTCAAAGACGGTGCTTCATTGCCAAATAAATTATATATGACCACCAAGTTGTGTATGTGATTTTGCGTCCAAATGAGAAAAAATTTATTATTTGACTTGTTCTTGTGAACTTGCCTGAAAAGCAAGCATTCTGGACCAATTCACGTACAACTGATTCTTTTCATGAACCACTCAAAAGAATCACAAGTTACAGGTTTAAATGAATCTGATGAATCCTTCACTAAATGAAGTCACGAACCTGCCAGAGCTGTTAAAGGGATAGTTCACCCAAAAATGAAAATGATTCATCCTCATGCCGTTTCTGTACCTTGACTGTGGTAGGACCCTTGCTGTCTATGGAGGGTCAGAAAGCTCTCGGATTTCATCAAAAATATCTTCATTTGTGTTCCGAAGGTCTTACGGGTTTGGAACGACATAAAACCTCATGCACACCGGGACGATTATCGCGCGCGCTTATCGCCAGCGTTTTACGACGCGTTTTGTGTGTTCATACCCGGGCGATTTTAACTGGCGATGAGCTGAGTAAACATACAAATTCACTCCCTGACATTAGATGGCGCTTAATGAAAAATACGAATCCTATTTGATCTGCAATTCCTCTCCATAACAACTCCCTCTTATCGAGATTTTTGTAGTCGCTGTTTTGTAGTTTGTGTTCAGACACCAATGAGACCAGCAGCTCTACATTCATCTTGCCTCGATGCATCTTCTTGGTCTACTTACTTCCTCTTCGTCGTTAGGTATCAATGTGTGCTCGGCAAGGCCATTTTGTGCTTGAGCGCCACCAATGTTTTACTGTGAGCACCACCAAGTCGTGTTTTACTGTAACTTCAGCAGTTCCAGGCACGTAAACAAAAGCGCCAATCTCATTGGTCGGCCAGTTTTTAACATGGCGCGTCAAACCAAAAAAACGAGCCTGAGGCGGTTTTTTAAAAATGACGCTTTTACGCCTGGCGTTTTGCGCGCCGGTGTGCACACTCACATTGGTGCCCTTTGTTTAGTCACGAGGCGTTAAACGTTGGTGATAATCGCGTGCGATATTCGTCCTGGTGTGCACAAGCCTTAAGGGTGAGTAATTAATGACAGAATTTTTGGGTGAACTATCCCTTTAATGAATCAAGATCTGATTCATTTGTCGAACTCCGAGTTATCATTACTTTTAGAGATGTACGTTTACTTTAGGATGTTAAATTTAAAGCAAGATTTTTACAGACTAATTGTTCAAAAACAGAATTTACTTTACCAAAAAAGGTATAAAAATAAAATAGATTTTTAAGAATAAAATAAAACAAACAATTATTTGAAAAATTTTAGCAGTACATTTCTATGTATGTTTTTTATTTTTATTTTATCATATATGTTAAAGCAACAGCAGGGTTTAAACTAGCACTTTTACATTATTTTTCTGTTAAAATTCCTTACATTTCTAGTGTACATTCTTCCTAAAGGTTTATTGTATCCTGGACTTGGGTGCGTCACTCTTTCTTGATGTTTAACCTCTTCCTGCTGTGGACGTTTAACCCCAGCATCCCTTTTCTGTTATGATAACCGCAGGGCGCGATGACCCTGTCACAGCATTTGCACTCATTAGTTCATGAGGTGATGCCTTTGTTGACCCGAGTGGAGATGAGCTTCCATCACTGATTAACAAGCTGGTGACATGTGCATTTATCTCTATTATCCCTCGTCCTTCACTTGCATGTTCACACTCAGTTTTCCTTAGAGATAAAGACGGCTAACTCCTTGTTTTTTCACCTCTTCTTCCAAGGTCCCATTTGTTCTGTCATGTTTATGCAAGAATGTGATGATAAGTCCGAACAGGGTGAAAGGTTCTAGGCTCGACATGAAACAGTAACATCATAACGACTTGTGACTGACACCATAAAAAGGGTGATGAGCTCAATCTAGTGTGCTTTGGCTTGGCTCTGAAACATCCCTGAAAACCTCCCTAAATGCTTCCCCCTCTAATCGGCAGATGTTTGATGGGTATGGAATGTGAGTTTTCCGAGCAGATTGTACTTGTTATCCACCTCAGTAGAGTGGGGTGGCATGGCAGTAAAGCGGATTGTTAAATTTGCTGCATGAATAATGCAGACTCTAGGGACGCATTTACATAAATATTTCAGATTTTTTTCACAGATATCTGGCACAGATCAGAATTTTGGCATCTGATTTAGGCCCATTTCAAATGTGGTTCTACTGCTGCACTCTCTAAATAATAATTCAGTGGCTTTGCAAGTATCACAACAATAAATAACTATGCTACCGTAATAAAATCTCTAAATATGACTTAAGTTGGAAATCCAGCAGTTAATTTTGTCTAAATCTGTTGTCTAATTTTATGTATAGAAATTAGTATGTGACTAATGAATGATGTTTTGTTAAAGTTCAATGAAAATATTTGAGAACGGAGAAGACCAATTTAAGAACTACAATAAATGCCCATTCCATATCAATATTGCTAATTTTTATATTTTATATTTTTATTTTTTTTATTATTCTTTTTTTTTTTTACTGTATGATGGCAGTCAATGTTGAAATTAATTACTGTTTGTTTGTTTATTTATTTCATTCAGTTTTTTTGCAGGGCTAAAATCGGTAGAATATCACCATTTATATCTAAATTATGACTGTTTTTGATACATAAAAGATTATAGGTTACACCTCAGGAAACATAAATGCAATAAATATAAATTAAATTTAAGTTGCTTTGGATGAAAGTGCCTGCCAGATGATCAGAAGAAAAAAAATACAGTTCTATAATGTTCTATAACTCTCCATGTCAGTTTATGCTATACATTTAGTGAATAATCAACAGAAAAGCTCATTTTAAAACACTACGAAACGATTTTATCATAATAATGTAATGCAGCAATTTTGACTCGATGCATTTTATTTGCTTAAAACTAAATCATTATCTGCATGGGTGCCACCATGTTTACATGACGTCATGCATCGCA